AGTAAAACTCAGTTTAAGAGAAGTCCGAGTCCGATGTCAGAATAGGAAACAAAAGGAAATAAACAAAATGACAATAATACATAAATAACAACAGACTACTAGCAGTTACTGACATGCCAGCTCCAGACCTCAATTAAACTGATTGCAAGATAATATCTTCATCATATGAATATCAGGCACAATACCTCCTGTTAGGGGTTTAGTATTATACTATTATGAAATATATGAGAAGAACATAACCCGTGTCATGCCAACAACTGGTTTTAGAATAAATGTGTTTAATTCCGATACAAAGACCCTATAAGTGAATCAATACTAAAGCTAAAATATGCAATCTTTAATGACCTGACAAAGTATCGTACCTATATCCCTTCTTAATAATTAGGCTATTTACTGTATACTGTTGTGATTGTTATCCTGATTCAAAACTTAGTTGATTTTGAAAAAGTACTTTGCAACCGCTGAGAAGACGTTGGGTGTATTTTATATTTGTCATTTCGGAGCCTTTTATATCTTACTATGCTGTATAGATTTTGTTCATTGTTGAAGGCCGTACAGTGACCTTTAATTGGTCATTCTAAGTTATTCAGTCTCTAGTTAAATTCTCTCATTAGACTTTATCCCATCATAGATGATCATGTGTAATTAAAAAAAGACAACTACATTATCGTTTCTCGTATACATATCTATTAAATATAATAATTAAACTTTAGTAAGATTGAGTACAACAAAAGCTTTGCCTTATTAAATCCGTGTTGCTATCTCCTTCAGACTGTCAAACACCGTCACCATAACTGTTAACGTGGTATTATATGTGATAAATTGCTGTTAACAATAGTAAACTGAGTATTTATTCACAGTACGCAATTCAATTTAAGTTGTGGTGGTAGAAATCTTAATATCACTGATACACGTTTGAGACATATGTGCAGTTCTTAAAATTCAGATTTAAACCTTGTTAATATTAAACCCAATCCCGCATGCAGCTATATGGCCATCCTGTTGAGGATGATATTCACTATTATTTTAGTGCCCTTTTCACAACGAAGTAAGAGAAATATTGTTTTTCAAAATTAGAAAGATTTACTATATCCATTTTGCATCTATTGGCTGGTGACGGTGACCTTTCATTTCAGCAAAACAAAGAAATTGTTGACTCTGTACAATCATAAATCAGAAAATACACAAAGATTTAGAACTTTCAATTAAAATTCGGAATTCCTACTCTCCAACTCTTCACTCTAGTCCAGTTTTATATATTACTCTATATTATATTGTATTTTTTTTTGTTTTTGAGACAAGGCCATATTTTGTCAAAAGAGAAGCACAAATACTCCAAAGCGAATTGCGAGAAGTGGTTTCGTATTTCGTTATAGAAAAAAAAATACCAGAAGTTTATGTTAAGTAACGACTCTCGTACGTTGATATCTTTTTAATAAATTGGTGCAATTGGATGCAAAAAATAATGACCATACAATGTCAGGTTTGCGAGATCAGACAGTAACCCAACACCCAAACAATTGAAAATCTATAGGGATCAATATTTAACATTCGTCAGCAATACGAAATGTTCATAAATAAAACATGATTTATTCGAATACTGTTTAAAAAAAGAAAAGAAAATAACTGTTTGGTTGGTTTTTTGTTGGCAAATTAGTAAAATGACCGTTTGATTTAAAATCGTTTGAAATAGATTAACGAAAACAATTTATTTACATGTGAAAAGACTAGACTTTGTGTCGTATGGATGTGATTTAGTGGATTTGTTTACAATTATTTCCATTATTTCAATAGTGAAAATCTTCAATTGTTTCATTATGCTGTTTGATTAACACATTATAACAAAACTAAAAATATGACGGATGAATTTATAGTTAGCTGTTTAACGTCCAGTGGCAACTATTAGATGTATTATTAGGAGGACATTTAAAATGTTATAAATATGAACAAGGATATCTTTTGTTATGGAAACATGTGTATCACGGCACAAGCGATGACCTATAGACACTGTGTATCATATATTTAGGGTGGGGTTGCTCCGAATAAAGGAGGTATATATATATATATATATATAGATACAGGAAAATAAAGCAATCAAATATAAAATAAGAATAGAATATAACGGGCGAAATAAAGAATAGAGGACAATGGTCTTAGAAAATTAAAGAATAGAGGGAAATGGTCTAGTTTTTTGTTGTTTGAAAATACAAAAATGAAACGCTAAATTATAATTTCACTTATGAATGAGAATTTTTCATTTGCCGGACACGCTCTTTTTTGATGATTGTTTAAAGTGCATTTGTAGTAAAAATAATACACAATCGTTTGTACATTGGTAGGGATTTATGTTTAGGGTTGATAAAGTTAGTATAGAAAGTCCCTGGAGGCACATAACGGGTAATTGTTTCTATTTGAAATTTCTCGAATAAATTGTTTTTTTCGACTGATTTGATAGATGAATAAAAAACATATCTATAATCTAAAAAAAAAAATGGTTTAATTACGATATATACTTTTATTCAGTCGATGTTAAAATACATGCGATAGAAGAGAATACATAAAAATAATTGAACCTTTTGAACAATAGGTCAACCTTAAGACCCCGAATCAGGGACTTTCTATACTAAGTATAGAAAGTCCCTTCCCGAATATACTTTTGTAAGAACATTAGATTAATTCCAAATTCCATCTAAAATAAATTGTTCATTTAGGTAAAAAAAAAAATGTTAGTACCTAACTCGAATAATTCAGCGCCCTCTATCCACTACTTTTCTCGGAGTGATCGTAGTGATCGTAATATAACGACTGGATTAGTTAATACCTTAGACTATTTTCAAAAACTGTCTGAATACCCTACAGACTGTAGTTTACGCGCACATTCATCAACTACGTATTTCCACGGCTAACAAAATTCATAATCGTATCTTTTAATTTGTTTCAATTTATTTCAGTGTTTATTTTTCAAACTTTTTATGTAAATAATTTTGGATCAACATCGAGTCAGATTAAATTATGATTTACTAAATGATTAATTAAAACTGAAATATGCATCCAATCTAAATTTTACGCCTATTATCACCTATATAAAAAGATTTAACAGAACACAATTCATGTTTTATATTTAAAGAAAAACATGTACGCTAAACGAAACTATGCACGTCAAGAAACGATGTACGCTAAACGATACGATATACGCGAAACAAAACGATATACGCTAAACGATACGGTATACGCTAAACGAAACGATGTATGCAAAACCATACGATGTACGATAAAAGGGCGCTTATGTTATCGTTTATGGTATGGTTTATGGTACATGGTTTCGTTCGTACATCATTCGGTCAGCGTCCGTACAACGTTCGGTCAGCGTTTCGTTTGCATTCGTACACCGTTCGGGAAGCGTACGTACATCGTTCGGGCATCGTCCGTACATGATTCGGGCATCGTTCGTATTGTTAACTTTTACGTTACACGGACTGTATGAGGCAAAGTGGTTTAAAGGGTAGAAAAATATAAACTTTGAATAGAATAAGAATCACCAATATAAGCATGCAATTTATCAAGTACTTCCATCGAAATTTTGACACTCCAAAAGTAATTAATTCCACTATTTTGACAGACCTTATTTGAACAATTTATTACCAGGTTTTTTTGTTGTACCAAGTGTACTAGCAAGTAGAATAAAATTGAATTGGAATTTGATGCGACTGTCATACAAGTGAGAGGTTTAGGTTCAATCCACCATTTTCTACATTTGAAAATGCCTGTACCAAGTCAGGAATATGACAGTTGTCCATTCGTTTGATGTGTTTTATCATTTGATTTGACCTTTTGATTAGGGACTTTTCGTATTAAATTTTCCTCGGAGTTCAGTATTTTTGTGATTTCACTATTTAATGTAAAATTTACGTCAAACAATAATGATATTGTTAGCAGCCTTATAAGCCTTATCAGATTAATTGTCGAAATCCTGATATGATGTACAAATTTGTGCACCTTATGTTTGCGGTATACCATCTTTTCCGCAAGTTAATTCTTTTATGGTAGGTAATACATTAATAATAAGATCTACTTTGTTACATCTTGTGATCCGTTTATTTGGCAATCGCCAATGTCAGTCAGCAGGGTTTAAGAACATCAGTTGTTCAACCTGCTAGTCAAATACGTTTTGTTAAGATACACTCTTTCACTTTTTTGGTATTTTGGAAAATGTTGATTGTGCTGTATTTAGACCCCTTTTCCAAGAAATTTGGTTTGCATGCACGTGTAAAAAAATAATAATAAAATGAACAAATGTCAAATATTTCGGATTCGGTGTAAGGCGATTTGGTGCCACGATAACTCAGTAGCATGAGTTCGAATCCCGACCAGTGAAGAACAAAAAAATTGCTTTTGCAAATTTACAGATCTAACATTGTGGAGCTGTTATTTATACGAATTATATATACAGAATGTGTTTTCAGCCTTGTATCGCCATCACTGGTGATCCGATTGATAAACTCTGTCAGAAAGTTGTCACTGGTTCAGACGTATATATAACAAGTCTAAAAGGGTACATCACCAAAAAATAAAAATAAATGATTAAGTGGGTCACGTTCTGTTTATTGTTTCGATATACTGCGATATATACCATTACTTTCTAGTTTATAATACTGAAAAGCAAACAAGTTGTCTACCTGCTGAATAATACATTGTAATCAAACAATTTTTTACATAAAATAATATTTATCTTTCGTATTTTCAATACAAATAGATTTTCCCCTTACAAATTTTCTTAATTGACACCAATTATCCTTTCTTCAAATTAGGGCTAAGCTATACATATTTCTGGATTTTCGTAAGCTGCCTTGTTGCAATATTGCCAAGATAGCATGGACAGAATATAATAAATATAGGCGGGGAAATCTATGTGCGAGATTTTTTAATTTATACTACTATTGCGCATTTTGACACTTGAAAAGAGTATAAATATGATTGTAAGTAAAACAGAGCAAAGGCGTTGATCTTACCGTATTAATTGTTTGAATACGATCCAGTGTAAAATTATTAGTATAGATTTTGTTTTTAAAGTGCTTCATCAAGGTAAGTCAGAAACTCCTTACATAACTCTCAAGCTTGCTTATATTTCAAATTCTACATGTTCATATCGTAATCATACAACAATGCTTATGATTTACCTTTACTAATGTATGTATTAGAGATAAGCTTCGACGATTACATCTGATTAACGTAGAAGTAACAAATAATTTATTTATCTTGTTTTTACGCTCTATAAAGAGCAATACGTTCTGATAAATCAGGAAAATTTTCAATATTTCTATTTTACCACTTTAAACACTTTAACAAAAAATTTTTTAGTTATGTATTAGTATTTGGAATGAGATCTTAATAGCGTCTCTTTTACTGCCATTAAATTGATATCTTATCATGGCATTTGTATTGCAATATGTCTTTATTGTTCTTTTATTTGTCTTTGTTCTATTATTAATATTACTTTTACCGTTTGGTCTGTTTTAGTGATATCCATTTGACGTGGCTCGGTACTTATGCATCCCGCCAATGTGTTGTTTGTATTATCTTTCATTTTTGCTGGTGTACTTTGTACGTGTGAATTTTTTTGTTTCTTTGATACATACACGTGGCTCTGTACCTTTCAACATCCTGCCATTATATTATTGTTCCATTATAATGCCATTATGTTATAATTTTGAAAATACTTTGAACGACAAAATTATTTTATATCTCTATATGTGTGACGTTTACATTCTGACGTCAAACACACGATTTTGAATTTACCTCGGAGTTCAGTATTTTTTGTGATTTTATTTTTCTACACCAGAAATGATGTGAACCTTGCCATTCAGTCACAAGACTTCAAATATTTCAATCCTTTATTGGTTGATTTAAAATACAAATATAAGTAAGCAATGAACGTTGTTGTTAAATTTTATATATGCTTTTTTTGTGCTTCTTTGTTAATATTTTTTTGTTTTTGTTCTGATTGAGATTGTGAAACGGTGATGACTGCTGTACCCCTATTTTGGCAATTTTACCTTCTGTGTCTGTTTTGTTCACGCATCGTTATAAATATAATGGAATTTGATGCGACTGTCATACAAGTGAGAGGTTTAGCGCTATAAAACCAGGTTAAATCCACCATTACTTTTTGTATTCTTGTCCCTAGTTTTTTGATAAATGTGCTCAGGAGCCTGTAATTCAGTGGCTGTCTTTTGTTGATGTATTACATATTTGTTTTTCGTTCATTTTTTGTTCATAAAATAGGCCGTTAGTTTTTTCGTTTGAATTGTTTTACATTTGTCATTTCGAGGCCTTTTATAGCTGACTATGCGGTATGTGTTTTGCTTATTGTTGAAGGCCGTACGGTGACCTATGGTTGTTTATTTCTGTGTCATTTGGTCTATTGTAGATAGTTGTCTCATTGGCAATCATACCACATCTTCTTTTTATATTTGTCAATATATCTTTGTTTTTCTTTGTTGACATATTTGTTTGTTTTTATAGTGATAATTATGATAAAACAATGTTGACTGCTGTACCCCTATTTTTCAAATTTTGACATATTTTGTGTGTTTGTTCTGTTCACACAATGTTGTCAATATAATGGAATTTTATTCGACTGTAATACAAGTGTGCGGTTTTGCTAGCTTTAAAACCATGTTTAATCCGCATTTATCGACATAAGAAAATGTCTGTACCAAGTCAGGAATATGACATTTGACATCCTTCCGTTTGATGTTTTGATTTTGCCATTTGATTATGAACTTTCTGTTTAGAATTTTACTCGGAGCGCGGTATTTTTGTTATTTTACTTTTTTCCAATTTAGATGTATATGCATGTACTACATCGTGGATACTGTCGAGAAGACCGCGGGACCAGGAACGTCTCGGAAGTTACATTGTATCCATGGTCGACGTCACACCGGCGACGTCACCTTATCTTTTGTTAGTAGCAAGTAAACGTGAAACTGTAAAGCTGTTGTTTATTTCATAAGAGTTAGATAATAAGAAATCGTCCCCACAGATACTTGCATTTCGACATATGGAAATACCTTTCCTCTCTGTTTGGTCAAGATATCCACTGGTCAATAGACGTTTAGAGTTTTTCCATTGCCGTGTCCCTTGTATTATGGATTTTTTTATTAGGATATTTAATTTTAAATTTTGTCGACATAAGATTTATTTCATTTATAATTTTGTTCTACATTATTTTAATTTTATATTGATATATATATATAAATTTTCTATTCAAGCTTTTAACAATTCAATTTTTTCTATATATGTATATTCATATATCATCGTGTCAAATAAACGTTGCAATATTTACAAAAAAACAATAAAGTTTATAAGAATAAATATATTAAAAAAATCAAAATATGTGTTTATAAAATAAATTATCGTCACATAACATTAAATAAATGTTTTTAAAATGATATAGTTATGCTTAAAAAAATAAATATATGTTCATATAACAAAAATAGTTGTTCATAAAAAATAAATAGAAGTCCATAAAAAACAAAAACAAAAGGTTCATAAAAAGGAACAATCGTAAAATTTTTTTTATTCTCCCAAAAGAGTTAAAATATGTATTCATATGATACGATATATGTTCATGAAAAAAATACACAAGGATGCTTACATAAAAACAAATACATTCAATAATTTGTACATGGGATACCTAACGGTCTACGACTCAGGGAATATCATTTTATACCCTGTCTGAATAACATTTTTATTTTTCATTAACATATATCTTATTTCAAAAAAACAATTATTAATTGTTATGTGTTATGTGTTATGTAACTATTTTTAACGTGAAAATTGCAACAAATAGATCGAATATGACTATATATGAAATACTCTTAAGTGTGATTGCACGCTAAATAGTTATCAAAGGTACCAGGCTTATAATTTTGATACGCCAGACGCGCGTTTCGTCTACATAAGACTCATCAGTGAGCGCAAATCAAAATAGTTAAGAAGTCAAACAAGTATAAAGTTGTAGAGCATTGAGGACCCAAAATTCCAAAAAGTTGTGCCAAATACGTCTAAGGTAATCTATTCCTGGGATAAGAAAATCCTTAGTATTTCGAATAATTCTTACTTTTGCAAACAGTTAATTTATAAAAAAAAATGACCATATAATTGATATTCATGTCAACACCGAAGTGATAACTACTGGGCTGGTGATACCCTCGGGGACGAAACGTCCACCAGCAGTGGCATCGAACCAGTGGTGTTAAAAGTTATCAAAGGTACCAGGCTTATAATTTGAAAACGCGATGGTCTCTATAAAGAGTTATAGTCTACTCTAAAGTACAACGGTTTGGTTAAGCTAAAGGGTGATGGTCTGGGCTTTTCAATGAAACATGCGTAAGTGCAATGCCTCCTTACGCTAAAGTGCTTTTTTTGCTGCTTAAATAAGGACGTTTTGTGGCATAAGTTGTCGTTTGTACAAACAAAAATGGACATGTCAAAAAATTAAACCAGAATGTTTTTCCAGAGGAAGGGTTTTTACAAGACAGCGAAAAAGACAGAAAAGATATACCATTTAAAATTGTACAAGTGTTTACATCTATATGTATTTCTGTTTAGATAGCGAATCTGAAATGTATAATATCGAGATTACGTTATTTTTATTTCAAGTCTAAGTGCTTATTTTATTCGTTTTAAATATGTACTATAATCAGGAAACAGCATACTCAGCTTACATAAAGGGTAGTTTAGTTCTAACTGCTGATTTGTTAAAGAAAGAAAAAAACTTTTGCGAAGTAAAATTATCACCTACCCCTTTTGTATCTGAAATCTTAACCCGTCATCCATAATAACATTATTATAATTATTGTCAAATATGCTCTGAAATTTTATACGATTTCTTTTTATCGAAAATGAGAAAAATGAAAGGGAAAGATTTAAAGCTAGAGGTACTAGCTGTCAAGGTTTGTATTATTATTTTTTTTATAATGTTTAACATTTTCAATTATCAATTATCAGTATGTATGTTAGATTGTATGTGTTTTTAGTGTTGATATTGTATGAACTTTGTGATATGTGTTGATTTATATGCCTTATCTGGACGTTATAACGTTTTTATTTGATTTGATTTGATTTGTATTAATAAGACGGATGTCATTTAAATAATAGATCCTGGTGCTCGAGATGGGTAGCACTGTTACAATACATCTTAGTGCACAATATGGGTGGCATTGTTACAATAGATCCTGGTGCTCGAGATGGGTGGCATTGTTACAAATGATCCTAGTGCTCGAGATGGGTGGCATTGTGACAAGATTCTAGTGCTCGAAATGGGTGTTATTTTTACAAAAGATCCTGGTGCCTGAGATGGGTGACATTGTTATAATAGATCCTCGTGCACAAGATGGGTGGCATTGTTACAATAGATCATAGTGCTCGAGATGGGTGGCATTGTAACAATAGATCCTAGTGCTCGAAATGAGTGGCATTGTTACAATAGATTCTAGTGCGCGAAATGGTTGGTATTCTAACAAAAGATCCTGGTGCTCGAAATGGGTGACATTGTTACAATAGATCCTAGTGCTAAGGATTGGTGGCATTGTAACAATACATTCTGGTGCTAGGAATAGGCGGCATTTGTACAATAGATCCTGTTGCGCGAGACGATGACATTGTTACAATAAATACTTGTGCTCGAAATAGGTAGCATTTGTACAATAGATCCTGGTGCTCGAGATAGGTGGCATTGCTACATGTACAGGCGCGACAATTGGTAAAAACTGATATTATTTGTGTTTTTTTTCTTTAGAAAGATTAATGGATGCCTTCACAAACATAACAGAGGGTGAATGAAAGAATGAATATGCACCAGAAATGGTTGTAGGAGTTTTGAGACTACAAATAATTTTCACGAAAATATTAAGAATGAATTATAAGAAATTATTCGTATTCTTTATACATGTCACCTTTTGGCTGTATGAGCTTTTGTCATAACTTGATATCTGTTGTACTGTTTTTTTAAGATCTTGCTGATATCCTCTGTAGAGTCATGCGTCAATATCGTGTGTGGTTACTAAGTATTAAATATATAAGGAGATGTGGTTTGATTGCAAATAAGACAAATAACCACCAAAGTCCGATTGGCGTTGAGGTCACCAAACTGCCTTCAACAATAAGCAAACACCACACCGTATAGTCCGCGATAAAAGACCCGGACGCAACCACCTAAATTTGTAAGGACACACAAATAGGACAGATGAACCAATAACAAGCAATGAATTGCTTATTTCAACATGAAACAATGTTGTAGCAATATTAACATGATTAAGATGACGTTGTTTCAATGTAAAGTATCAACCTATATTCAATCAAAAATGAACATCGATACAATGTTTAAAATATAACGTTGTTTCAACGTCAGATATTCAACTTTATTCCAAATTTCAAAACCAACAGTTTTTTCAACGTTGAAATGCCTGCTGGGGGGAACTAATATAAAACGTATTTTTTCATTTCTATGTTTCTAAGTCTACTATTTTGAGGGCCCTTTATACGTTGCTGTTCCGTGTGAGTCAAGATTCCGTGTTGAGAACCGTACTTTGATCCATAATTGTTTACTTTTACAAATTGTGTCTTGGATGGAGAGTTGTCTCATTGGCACTCATACCACATCTTCTTATATTTATGTAAAATTTAAAATGGATATGGGGAATGTGTCAAAAAAATACCAACCCGACCAAAGAGCAGAAAACAGTCGAAGGCCATCAATGGGTGTTCAACACAGCGAAAAAATCCCGCAACTGGAGGCGTGGAACAGCTGTTCCGTAAACAGAAATGTGTACTCGTATAGTGATAATAGAGGTCATACTATACTTCAAAACATACAATTAAACTACAATAAAAAGTTAAACAAGACCAACAAAGGTCAGAGGCTCCAGACATTGGACAGGTGCAAAAATGCGGCGGGGTAAATTATGTACTGTGAGATGTCGATCCTCCCCCTATACCTCCATGTAGAAAAAACAAACACACAACAATACGCACAGTAAAACTCAGTTTAAAAGAAGTCAGAGTCCGATGTCAAAATAGGTAACAAAAGACACGAAGCAAAATGACAATGATACATAAACTAACAAAGGACTACTAGCAGTAACTGACATGCCAGTTCCAAACCTTAATCAAACCGATTGAATGATATCATCATATGAAAATCATGCACAATCCCTTCCGTTAGGGGTTAAGAATTATATCATCATAAAATATACGAGAAGAACATAACCCGTATCATGCCTACAACTGGTTTTAGAATAAATGTGTTATTTCCGATGCAAAGACCCTATGAGTGAATCAATGTAAATACCAAGATTACCCACCTTTAATTAAAATATTTATTGTCATATAAACTCTGAACAATAAGTTTGTGACAAATAATATAAACATATACAAAATACATTTCACAAACAAAACATATGTCATAAAACATAAAAAGAATTCGTAATTTCCTTTTGCAGAACCTAAATGTAAAATTTACGTTAAACAATAATGATATTATTAGCAGCTTTATCAGCCGGGAAAACACAAATTCCTTGGCTAGTTCTTTTAGTTTATGTTTGATACGAGAAATAGGGTTTTTATTAATAATAAAATTGAGAATGGAAATGGGGAATGTGTCAAAGAGACAACGACCCGACCATAGAGCAGACAATTAATTAGTCTGTTTAAAAGTTTGGTGAAGTTTTGTGTGTTTCATTCTAGTGCAACAGTAAATAAGTTTGCATTGTCATGGAAAGTTGTTTTTCAAGATTCAAATTGAAAGGTCATAACGGCTCTTTATGTTCGCTAAACAAGATTATGTCTCTTAGACTGATTGCTTTGTTGCACTTTACCGAATATGACTATTAATAAGTCTGTATAAAGGATTGATAAAGTTTTGTGTGTTTCATTCTAGTGCAACAGTAAATAATTTTGCTTTGTCGTGGAAAGTTTCTTTTTCAAGATTCAAATTGAAAGGTCATAACGGATCTTTATGTTTGCTAAACAAGATTGTGTCTCTTAGACTGATTGCGTTGTTGCACTTTACCGAATATGACTATTAACAGTGTGATAATGCGGCTATCTGCAGGATCTGCTTGCCCTTCGAATATATCTTTGTACTGATTCTGATTTTATAGTTGCTATATTTTAATAACATATTATTATCTTTTTCTTTGATCCAGGAGTCTCTCTGGTTGTCATCTTATGAAAATGAAAACTGTACTCCAAAGAACAATGGTTTTAATAATATTATGTTATGTTATTCAAGAACATACCACAACTGCTGTAACTGATACCGATTGTAAAGGTGGAGGAATTTTCGAAAAGTCTCTAAGAGTTCATCAACTGCTGAAGCAAGTACACACTGATGGTGATGTAGTTGCTAGAACATTTTACACGGAATATGTTAACAAAAATGATAAAAGCAAAGAATTGGAACAGAAAATATTTGATTCTTTAAAATTTGAATTTGATGTCGCATCTTGTATATTTAAGGGGGTTGCAACAGTTGGAGGAATAGAAAATGCTGTAATATATGTTCATACGACAAAATATGTATTCATGTCTCTTCGGTATACTCTAGATTTATTCTCAAAAATGAATGGCTTAGGGAAAATGGAGAAGGATTTATCCCTTTTTGCGACAGTTTTAAATTCTGTCCTTTTATACGGAAAGAAAGATCCAAAACATTCTGAAACATATTCAGGCGAAACATTTATGTGCGGAGATTTAAAAAAACTTCCCGTCAAAGAACATGTTGTTTTCCATACGTTTATGCCATCATCGGAAAAGAGAGAAATAGCTATTCAATATGCTGTAAAAAAGGGTCATACTTCATGCGTGTATATTTTTAAAAATGATCAGCATTCTTCAAAATACAGTCCAAGATCTATCTCCGCATTGTCTTATGATCCTAAGGATAAGGAAGTTGTATTTCCTATCGGTGCTACTTTTCAGAAGATTGAATGTACATCAGCAGACACACAACCATTCAATAGTGTAACACATTCCGGAATTGTGTGCTTGGATTTAATTTCAGATAAAAACAGAAAAGAATTAATGTCTAAACAATATAAACCAGCTGAAATCTCCACAGAACAAAACAATTGTATTCAGTCAGATAAACCATAACCACGACATTTTGACTTTGGCAGATATAGACATAACCCCTTTAGCATTAAATACAGCGGGCATATAAAAGACAGTTGCAGACCAGATCTCTGGAGAATTTTACAATCGACAAAAAAAAGCAAATTAAACTATACATCTATCCTCACTAGTGAAATAATCTTAGTTTTAAACGGTCATTTTAAAATTGACCTCATCTGAATAGTCTCAGTATTAAAATGTTTAGTCTTGTTATATATATAATACTCCCAAACGTGTCCGATTCCCCAAAACGTGTGTTATCTCCCCAAACGTGTCCTTAATATTCAATATTGCCCAAACGTGTCCGCTCTCATAACCCCCAAACGTGTCCGATAATTGTTTTTCTCCAAAACGTGTCCACTATTAAAAGCCAGAACGTCTCACGTATTTTCGCGCTTATACATGAATGTCCTAAAAGAAATCAATAACGTTAACGGCAATTCTATAATGGGGACACAGTTGATAAAGTGGTTATTCATTGTTATTAATTTGTTCAATGCCGGTTGTTAACGATTATCATAATTACAAATTTAACCTGTAACATATGAATTAGCTTTTGACTGAAATTGCTTATTGTCCAGTTGCAAGTATTTCAAGCAAGTACAAACAAATAATTCTAGTACAGTTGAATTAATCGTTTATTATGTACTCCGATGATGCCTTTTATATCAATCCGAATATTGCACGGCGGGTTTTATCAAAATTTACCTTTCTTTTTTTTTTAACAGTTTTGATATTTTAAAAGCTCTTCAAATCATAAACTGTTTTTCAGGTTTCGAGCATCAAGAGACATAGCGTCCATGGCCATTGCCAAATATTTCATGCATTATTTGAACGACATCATGTTAACAATAAATACTGTACATACGTTTTATTATCATACCGGGAATTTAGGATTGGACCTAAATTTTTACGGTTATTCGGGATGAATACTAGTTGAGATATTAATCTAAAAATTTAAGAGCGAGTAAACACCGATTTTATATGACTTCAGTACGATTTACCTCAATCTCGCTTTTATGTAAAAGAGGCCGTTTTAAATATTTACTGCCACTAGAAAAAAAATAAAAGGGAAAAAATGTTGCCTTCCAAAATACAACTAGTGGCACTATGAAAGAGTTGTTAAAACAAATTTAATCTGCAGAGAAAGAGACATTCTCCCTACACGAGGACCACAATTTAATTGAGCACGGCTGCTTACATTTACACCCGACATAGCCGAACAGACGCCCACTTTAACCGAGGTTATACTGCTGGTTAAAAAAAATACCTAAACTACTTTATTTCTATTTTATAATGAAATATTAAAATGAGTATACGTTAATGAAAAAGCAATAACCAAATCACCAACGTATTTATATTATGGACACGAATGATAGTTTCATTAAAAAGAGAAAAAAAGCTTGATATGGATACGTTTGGGAGATTGGACACATTTTGGTGTTTATTGAAAAATGGACACGTTTGGGCGTTAGTAATGAAAGCTTGGTGCCCTTTTACAACTAAATATGTTTTGCAGTTCAGTGACGTCGATGTAGACACGTTTGGGGGAATAGGACACGCTTGAGGGGAAGGACACGTTTCTGAGTGTTACATATATTTAGATTGTTGTAAATTCAGTACTGCTCAGAAATTTGGATTGCACTGAAGCCAGTTCTGTTCAGCAGGCAAAAGAAATTGTATTGTTTTATAATTCCCTCCCTTTTATCATGTTAATTTCAAGCAATCCATCCTAAGGTATAACTAAAAAATTCTAATGCAACATTATTTGTAGCGTTCATTTTGATTGGATAACGTCATAAATTCTCATGGCATCAAATCACAATTGATGCTATGAAAATGTACACGAAAGCGCAGACGACGTATTACAGATTTTAAATGTATGATTTGACGTTGTTTTCTGTCAGTTTCATTAGAATGGAGATAAAAATATTGCATTTAAAGCTCCGATTGCATCAGTTGGTGATTTGATGGTCGCAAATACCCGTTTACTAGCTCCGCTAAGGCGTCGACAGTAAACTTAATTTTCGATCATAAAATCACCAATTGATGCCGTCGGAGCTTAAAATACAATGCAGTTATCTCCTTGTCTATCCCGCCTGTACAATTGTACAAGCTTTAATGATAAAAAGAGATTATTTTTATCATTGTTTATCGTTATACATGTTATACATATAATCAACCGTAGACTTAATGAGCTCATTTATTTGTGTCAATTGTCATTCATTATGTACCAAAAGAACAGGATTTAAATGCTGTCACATGATATGCTTACAAATTTTGAAATACGGACACCTTATATTGATGCCATTCAAAACTTTATAATTTCTTCACTGTTAGATGTAACAATCCATTCCGAGATACAAACAGTACTGAATTATCAGGCCAGTACAAGAATATTATAAAAAAAAAAAAAAATATTGTCACTTTTTATCATGTTAATGTAAAAAAATCCATCCTTAGTATAAATAGAGAATTGTAATGCAACATTATTTGTAACGTTCATTTTGATTGGATAACGTCACAAATTCTAATGGCATCAATTCACAATTGATGCTATGAAAATGTACACGCAAGCGCAGAAGATATATTACAGATTTTGAATGCATAATTTGACGTTGTTTTCTGTCAGTGTCATTAGAATGGAGATAAAAAATATTGTAAGCTCCAACCGCATTAATTGGTAATTTGATGGTCGCAAAATTATTAAAAAAAGAAATATTGTCACTTTTTATTGTTATCGACATGAATATTAGTAACTGTAGACTTAGAGAGCTCTCCATTTGTGTAAAACTACGGAACAAAAAGAACATGTTTTTAATGCCATTGTATAATATTCTAACAAAATGTAAAAAAAATGGCACTTTCTTTTATCAACAACAAATTTTGCAATTGTAAAACACAAATTTCTTTATTTCTATGTTTAAAAATCCATCCTGAGGTATAAAAAGTAATCATCATCAGGCAAGTACAAGAACATTCAGAAACAAAATAAATATTGACGTAGACTTATAGAGCTCTCAATTTATGTAAAACTATTCATCCTAAGGGACTAAAAGAACAGAGTTTTAATGCCGTTATATAATATTCTTACAAGATGGAAAATGTTGGCACCCTTTTAAACTTAAATTTTTTTACTGTTATGTCTAACAATCCGTCCTGAGGTATAAAAAGTATTCATTTATCAGGCAAGTACAAGAATATTAAGAAAAACAATAATATTATCACTTTTTATTTTTATTGACATACATATTAAAATATTATTATTAACTGTAGACTTAGAGATCTCTCAATTTTTGTAAAATATTCATCCTAAGGGACAAAAAGAACTATTTAATTATTATAGTTCAAATTAAAGATAAATCATATGATTGAAAATAAGTCATTAGCAATTTTCATGTTGGTCATGTCATTGTTCTATCTTTATCCTGGCATTGGTCCAGTTATTAGGGTAACATACCATACAGATGCGTTTACTTTTTAACCAAAAAAAAGAACAGTTTTTGTTGTTGCACTTCAGTGTTCTTGTTGTTCCGATGTTTTCCTCTCATAGTTGTTGTTTTTCACTCAGTTTTAGTTTGTAACCCGGATTTGGTTTTTCTTATCGATTAATGACTTTTGAGCACCTGTATACTTCTGTTGTCTTTATTTATGTCTTATGGACGTAAAACCGTCAACATCATTAGCTACTACAAGATAACAGTCACTGGCATTTTAAACTTTAAGAAATAGCTCATTTACTACATGTATACTACATTTACCTGTAATAAACTAATCAATCAATTGATGAACATTTATAGAAAAATGTTTACTCAAACAACAGTATTTAGAACTCACAAAACAATCTCATTTAATGATCTACAAAGGGTGATGATAAGAATTTATTGATGTCTGTAACCATTTTCTAATGGTCGACACAGCTTTTAACGAATAAGCCCCTTCACGATAAATCCCGAGCATGCGCATAAACGCTTCCGGACGGCAACTTGTTGACATAGATACCAACATGGCGACCCGGGAAAGTTTAAATAAGTTAAATCTCAGTTCTTTAAAGATTCTTGCAGCGGAGCATAATATTGAAGTGGAAAAGAAGAAAAAAGAGAGGATAATTTCGGATATACTCACAGAACAAGTTCCTTCATCTACTCTAACACCGATCATCAAGCAGGCAGTTCAAGTGGGCGATGTGACGATTCCCAGTGAAGAAAATGAAAACCTCCCACCCTTCAATAGAGTGACTTACACCATCAGTGACCAGACCAAATTTCCGATAATCAAATTTGGACAGATTTACGATTTTATGGTGACAAGACCTACGTATTCAGGGACAACAACTCAAAATTTCAAGGGCCTTGACAAGGCAGTCAAACACTATGATGCTGGTGACATCCAAGATGTAGGGATGGCACAGGTAATAAAACCCAAAATATTTAAGATAACAGGCTTGAATTTGACAGGCACACTAAATTAAAATGATATACAGATGTAGTACTAGATAATTAAATGAAAATAAAGACACAAAAATATTATAATTTATATGTATGCCCATGATCATTAAAAAATATAATTTGATAAGAAACTTTATAATTATAGAAACTGTCATTTTTTTTATGTGTGAATTTTTTGTAATAATTACATTGACTAGATTTTCACTTTGCACAGCTCAATATTATATAGGATTATGTGATTTTTTTTTTTGTATTTCTGGTTAGGAAACTTACATCATTTTTAAATGTGGTAGGCAAATAAGGGAGATCATTTTGCAAAAATAATCAAATCAAATAACCACAGCAATTCCTTTGATTTCTATAAAATCTTAAACTTAGAAATTGTTGTGGTTGCCATTTAAAAGCAACCAGATGAGTATTTTTGGCAGAAAGTAACAGTTTAACACAAAACAATTTTACTTTGTATATACAATTGTACAGACAAACCTGACTTTTTAAAGGAAAATTAATTCTATTTTTGAAGAAAGAAAATACTATTTATGAACAAATAATTTATACAAAACTTAAATCTTTCTTTGTGATTTCAGATCAATGAACAGACAACTTATATCCGAGCAATGTGTCAAGCATCCATGAAGAAACAAAGATACCAGGTGTATATATGTACTTTGAAAACAGATAGTGGGGATTTTATGGTGCAATATGGATACTGTCAGTGTCCTATAGGGTAAATATTAGTAAAAAATATTATAATTATTTTAAAAAAAAATATTTATCTTAAAATAATTCCACCAATAATTTTGTACTTATGAACAAATAAAAGTTAACCCTTGTTCCACTAACAATTTTTTTAAGAAAAGGGGCTGCCTTATATTTTAGATCTAGGAGTATCATGTTGACAAATTTTGATTTTCTTTGAATTTTGCCCTCCCCCCATATTTTCTTTATTAGGGCTTTAGAGAAAACTAAATTTAAATCAGATACCAGATTTTACCTTATACACTTTCATTGCAATTTTCTTCTTAGATCTGATATCATTTAGACATCAGGATTTAACCCCTAAATATATAAAAAATAGACTAATGAATAATAGTATAGTAGAAATCAATGCTCTATTTATTTGTTATGGAATTTGTAACTATAAATGTTTATTTTTATCAACAATACAGTCTTCTTATATTATTTTTTTATTTTTAGGTTAGCACAGTCATGTAGCCATATTGGCAGTCTTTTATTTGCATTGAGCAGAGCTAAAGTTGGAATAACAGAAGCAGAGAGCTGTACCTCTAAATCCTGTACATGGAATGTTCCGAGGAAAGATGTACAACCAAGACCGTTATGTTACATGGCATCAAAGAAACCAAAGTTGGCTTCTTCATCTGAGGAAGGGAATGCAGGTACATCAGAGACTGGTTATACCACATTCCAGTCTTTTGACCGTACTGTAAATCTGGACATAACCCTACAACACTTAATGGAACTGAAGAATGATTTTCCTAATACAGGTATAGTAACAAGCATTAAATAAAACAAAACACAGTTTTAAAACAAATAACTTTATAACAAAATAAAAAAGTAATTGTATGTAAAAATATTGAAACACAATGCTTTAATCATTTTTAAAAAAGGTGGCATATCATACCACAATATTGGTTTTAAAAACACTATATACATATGCATGTATAAGAAAATGAACCCCTAATTCTAACTGAATTGCTCAATTTTCCACATTATCCAAAATTTACCCATAAGTAAGCTTTCTTTCTTTTCTTAAATTTAACACATTTTCTCTTTAATAAAAATCAAAAGTATTATGAATCGGTTTACTTTGTTGATTATGGGTTTTTGTATTCAAGTAAAGGGGAGATAATTTGAATTAAAGGAAATATACATATCATTATATGGAAACTGCACCATTTGAAATTTCTCTGCAATCAACTTATTTTCAATGACATCAAGATATTATTTAATTTTAAATAACCATCTATTTATCTTATAGGTAAAGTATGAAAAAAACATTATTATTATTTTGTTTTAAACATTGAACTACATTGAAGTCTATAATTTCAAAAGGAATGTAACTTATTACAAAGCAAATATTAAGTGTACAATGTTTTACAAAGTTTGCTTTGTCTTATAAACAAATAATTATTTTTTTAAATTTCATTTAAAAAGGCATGTCTCATTTATGGAATATTCCTGAATCTACTCCTGATGTACACCAAGAAGTGGAGATGGATACTTGGGTTGACCCAATGGAAAGAAAGATGAAAGAAATGCTATATACAGAAAACAGCTGTAATTATATTAACACCTCTTAATTTATTTTGTGAAACATATAAATGGCTATTAACATGATTTCAAATAGATTTATACAAGATAAATTCAATTTAGTGAGGAATTTTTTTTATAATAAATATAATTACTATCCAAAAAAATGTATATCATTTAGAAATGTCTGTGATAAGGCACGACTTTACTGCATTTGTATCTTGATCCAATGCCTGTTTGCACATCCATGGGCAATCATTTTGAACACAATTATATACTCACAAATACATGTATATATTCATCAGTGGTGGACCCAGAAGGGGGGGGGCTGTCCAAACAATGCATTTGAATTGAGACATATTGTAAGAACCCCTCCTTTATCCTGGGTTGGGACCCCCCTTTTAAAATGACTATATCCCCCCTTCTGTTATGCACGCTGGACTGCAATGATTTTTTTGCTTCAAAAATATATAAGTGTGTGCATATAGATTTCACCACTGCAACAAGTGTGTTACGATATTTCTCCACTCGATACAGTTAAATTTTAATATTTAAAGCGCGAGGCTTGCTGAGCTTTTTATACGACCGCAAAAAAATTTTGCGATCCTATATTGGTATGACGTCGTCGTTGTCCGAAGACACATCGGTTTTCGCACTCTAACTTTAGTTTAAGTGAATGGATCTCTATGAAATTTTACCATAAGGTTTAATACCACAAAAGGAAGGTTGGGATTGATTTTGGGGGTTATGGTACCAACAGTTAAGGAATTAGGGGCCAAAAATAAGCATTTTATATGGATCTCTCTGACATTGTACCACAAGGTTCCATATCACAAAGGGAATGCTGGGATTGATTTGGGGGTAATTGCCTCAAAATTTTAGGAATTAGGGGCCAAAAAAGGGGCAAAAAACAAGCATTTTTACATGGACAAATACTTTAGTACAAAACATAATTTAAAGCAGTGTAAGGGAGATAAATCAAATACATCATTTGAATTACCTCCCTTACACTGCTTTTAAATTATGTATAAAGTAATGGTTTATGAACAATTAAGACAATTTAAAACAGTGTAAGGGAGGTAATCCACATACAACGTTTTGATTTCTTCCCTTCAACTGCTTTTAAATTATGTTTAAAGAAATGCATATTTATAAAGGAAGACCAGTAAAAATATCTGCAAATGTTGCATCTATTTTTTTTTACAAAAAAATCCATATGAAAGATTTGACACCATATTTTAAATTCTATTATAAAATAGATTAAGTTAGCACTATGGTAAATTTAAATGGGTAATTATGGTTGCAAATTCATTGAAAATTTGAATTGAGATTATGACCATATCTTGAGGGAAAGAATTTTTGGGGGGAAAAGGGGGGGGGGGGGGGGGGGGGGGGGGGGGGGGGGAGAAGAAATTGTGGGGGTCAATTTTTTCTCATTTCAGATTTCAGAAATTAAAAAGAATTATTCTTCAAATATTTTTTTTTTTTCAAATTTCAAAGATTGAAACATTTCAAGAAGTAATCTTTAATTGTACAGTATGGCGCATTAGATTTGTAAAATCTTTGACCACATTTATTTATTTGTTATGCCAAATCTGAACGTGTATTTAGATTTTTAATTTTGGGTCCAGTTTTCAAATTGGTCTACATTAAGGTCCAAAGGGTCCAAAATTAAACTTAGTTTGATTTTAAAAAAAATTGAATATATGGGGTTCTTTGATATGCTGAATCTAAACATGTATTTAGATTTTTGATTTCGGGCCCAGTTTTCAAGTTGGTCCAAATTGGGGTCCAAAATTAAACTTTGTTTGATTTCAGCAAAAATTGAATATATGGGGTTCTTTGATATGCTGAATCTAACCATGTATTTAGTTTTTATATTTGTGGGCCCCGCTATCAAATTGGTTCATATTGAGGTCAAAAGGGTCCAAAATTAAACTTTGTTTTATTTTATCAAAAATTGAATTATTGGGGTTCTTTGATATGCCAAATCTAACCGTGTATTTAGATTTTTAATTTTGGGTCCAGTTTTCAAATTGGTCTACATTAAGGTCCAAAGGGTCCAAAATTGAACTTAGTTTGATTTTAACAAAAATTGAATATATGGGGTTCTTTGATATACTGAATCTAAACATGTATTTCGATTTTTGATTTGGGCCCAGTTTTCAAGTTGGTCCAAATTGGGGTCCAAAATTAAACTTTGTTTGATTTCAGCAAAAATTAAATATATGGGGTTCTTTGATATGCTGAATCTAACCATGTATTTAGTTTTTATATTTGTGGGCCCCGCTATCAAATTGGTTCATATTGAGGTCAAAAGGGTCCAAAATTAAACTTCGTTTTATTTCATCAAAAATTGAATTATTGGGGTTCTTTGATATGCCAAATCTAACCGTGTATTTAGATTTTTTATTTTGGGTCCTGTTTTTTAAATTGGTCTACATTAAGGTCCAAAGGGTCCAAAATTAAACTTAGTTTGATTTTAACAAAAATTGAATTCTTGGGGTTCTTTGATATGCTGAATCTAAACATGTGTTAAGATTTTTGATTATGGGCCCAGTTTTCAAGTTGGTCCAAGTTGGGGTCCAAAATTAAACTTTGTTTGATTTCAACAAAAATTGAATATATGGGGTTCTTTGATATGCTGAATCTAACCATGTATTTTGATTTTTGGGTCCCGTTATCAAATTGGTCCACATTGAGGTCAAAAGGGTCCAAAATTAAAGGAGTAGGTCCGGTAAGGGCTGATTTTGGCCTCAAAATTCAGGTTCATCTGATGAAAGATGTTGGACACTTTTTAAACACGTAAGTGTCTACTTCAGTCGATTCAATTAGTTGATGTGAAAGATTTGAACTGATTTAGTCATTAAATACGCTCAAATTCAATCTTAAATATGAAAAATCTATCACATATGCCATAATATGTCACTTTTCAGATGGTTTTTGTCAAAAATGAAAGTGGCGGCATCCGTGTTCATTCTCAACCTTTATAAATGTTATATATTATCATCAAATACAACTAAAATTTAAATATTAAGAACGAACACAAATGCAGCCACTTCCATTTCAGACAGAAACCGTCTAAAAATTAACCAAAATGCTAACATTTCGAAGATATCAGTAATTTAGCATGACTTAATGATGCTAGTACCCGATACATGTGCATTGTATTGTCAAAAACAGTCCATATTTATGTAACAGAAGTATTCTTCTTTCCAATAAATAGCTTAAACTTTTCATTTTAACAATTTTGTAAAACTGCTATATTTTGGGGCCAAAAAGGGGTCTTACTGGGCCTACTATGTTTGATTTCATCAAAAATTGAATTCTTTGGATTCTTTGATATGCTGAATCTAACCATGTATTTAGATTTTGGATATTGGACAAAAATTAAGTTCTTAGATCACATTCATTCTGTGTCAGAAACCTATGCTGTGTCAAATATTTAATCACAATCCAAATTCAGAGCTGTATCAAGCTTGAATGTTGTGTCCATACTTGCCCCAACTGTTCAGGGTTCGACCTCTGCGGTCGTATCAAGCTGCGCCCAGCGGAGCATTTTATTAAATACTTTAAATTTAACTGTTGAGAGTGGAGAAATATCGTAATACACGAGTTATAGTGGTGGAATCTGTTTCTCTAATGATTCTTATCCTTCCTTTTCAAAGATTTGCAGAAAGTTGTGTTCTTTATATGTGACGTCATCAGGCATGGTCGCCTTTTTTCTTGACGTCACAATAGGAAAATTCAGAAGAAACCAAGAAAATTTGACATCATAATTAAATTTCCGACCAATCATTTGCCAAGAACAAATTTTTCACTAGTGAGGAGAAATATTTTTCTCACACCGGTCAAGAAATGTGAAAATAGCACAAAAATTAGAGAAACTTTTTTTTACAATTTGAAATGTAACTCTCCTTTCAGTATGCTCACAAGCTAAATAAACTTGATGTGAAAAAAAATCTGCTATTTTATAAATGTTTGAGCAAATACCCTAGCTTATACCTTATATAATACTTTAAAACAGTACCTCCACCATCAATAGAAAGAGAGCTGGTTGACTATATAGAGAGCAATACCAGGTTGCAGAGAGGGAGTACAGTGTGGAGAGATCTACATACAGGAAGGATAACCAGTTCCATATTTGGTGATGTAATTGCAGCAGGAAGGAGTCCGAATTCTCTCATAAGACAAATAACTGAGGGATCCTCCCTTGATAGGTATTCCAATTTAAATGACAGAAATTTCTACATAAAAAATAAGCAAGATGTATGATTGCCAATGAGACAACTCTCTATCAGGAAATAATTAACAACAGATTTTTTTTTAATTTGATCTAAACAAAAGTACTATTTATAGTGATTAATGTAATTTAAATAGTACAAACTACTTATAAGTACAGACTATTTTAATTTTCAACAGCATGTCTTGGTAAACTTTATGACCATTTAAACTAGTTGATAAATCATATGCAAAAAAATACAGGATTTTTATTTTAAGTTAGTGTGACATTCAAACATTCTTATTTCTGTAATAGTTATTCATGTTTGAACATCACAATAACCACATAGTTGACAGAAAATCAATACTATCAGTCAATTCATTTGGATTACTAATTTGGACATAGGCTTGTTGACCAGTCAAGAAAGAAATTATTATTGTTTTGTTCAACATCTTCAATGAAAGTCCATGATTATCTTTGCAAAGTTGTAGTGATGAACATTTTTATGTACATTTTTGTTTTGCAGGTATTCATCACTTCCAGAGGTTATTCAGTGGGGAATAGACAATGAGGACAGGGCAAGAGCCCAGTATATAGAACTGAAGCAATGTATGCATGATGATTTCAAAGTCGAGACCGCAGGGTTAACTTTAAACAACATCTACTCTTTTCTAGGAGCAACTAGTGATGGCATAGTGATTGAAGGAGATAGTGTTGGTCTCCTAGAAATTAAATGTCCATTTTCCCTGAAGGGAGTGAGGGTCAACACATTGGAAATTGACATGATTCTTGGGATGAATGACCCTAGTTTTTGTTTGATTTATACACCTGATGGCCCAACATTGAACCCCAGTCACAAATATTATGCACAAGTCCAAGGTGAAATGGCAATAAAAGAACTTCCTTGGTGTGACTTTGTTCTGTGGACAGCAGCAAAAGAAAACAACATTTGCATTGACAGGGTGTACTTTAATGCTGAATTTGTACAAAACATGCTACAAAAACTTGTGAAATTCTATATGGATAAAATTTTTCCATTCTTTTATCAGTAAACACAGTAAACAATTTAAAGAATAAGTATAATAGTTAAGGCAATTTGAGGGTATAACTGCATAACATCACCATATTGATTTTTTGTCAAAAATGTCATCAAGATAATTATTGTTGTGTTTGTGTAACTATTTTTTCTAATCTTTAAAATGCAGAAATTCTTTAAAATAAAACTTGTATGTGGCAATTCAGTATATTTGAGATTATATCAAAGGGAGATAATATATAATTTGCATATACAACATGAACTACCAAATTTTAATGAGCTATATGACCATTAATTTTTTCTTTTTAATTCTAAGTTTAATTCTAAAAATGACAAAATTAATGAATCTGTATAATTTCTTTCATTCAAAAACTTATCCATCGTGAAACCAATGATTTGATGTTTGCGTTTACCCTCAAAGTACTCCTTAAAATTATTTTAAAGTGACAAAAGAATGTCTGGAAATTGCACTGTAATAAAAAAAACATTGAATAAGAATCATTTTCTATAATGTACAATATTATTGAGCATAGCATGAAAATATTATGAGTTAATTCCTACAGTGCATGTATTACAACTTTGACAGACAAAATGCTACTTTAAACATATCTTCAATAGTCCATTTGCCAATTTGTCATCAGTTTGAAAAAAAGAAGCAAGTATTGGCATCAAACGTTTTTAGCTTAATAAAAGATTAAATGGAATGACAATATTTTTAAAACTTTATAAGATCTCATACATAACATGAAGATAAATATTTCTGATATCTCATTGTCAATAAAATATTATGTCTTAAGGGAAGCAACTCAAGGAAATTAATCTCTTATTACAGAAATGGCAAATAGGCTGAGAAGAGTAATCAAGTCTTATAATTATTGAAATACAGAATCAGGAATGCAATCAGGAAATAACTGACCATCATCATTGATTCTTTTTATTTGTTGAAAACTTTTTGAAAATAGACCTTTAAATTCTTATATTCAGTGAACTTAAAATTTGTGTAACATTTTATTTATCAAAGACTAAGACTTACAGCCTATTACTTGACTAGGGGTTCATCAAAATTTGTTAACCAACAACACACTTTAAAAATTTGTGTAGATTGTGGTGCAATAGATAAAGGCATAACACCATCAAAAATATGAAAATTTTTCACTCTTCCAATACTCCTTTCCACATGAATTCTTAACTTAGCAATTTCTTGTGTTTCAAAAACCTGTTCAGTTGTAAACTGAGCAGAAATACCTTTAAAGGGTGGCATATTTAGAGTACAATTCTTTTTTTCTAATAAATCTTTTATAGTAAAGCCTTTGTCAGCCATTACAGAGTCATTCTCATCCAATAAATCTAGTATACCAGATTCAAGAGTTATCTGCCTGTCAGAAACTCTACCACCCCAACCTTCTGAAACAAAAGATATAACGCCAGATGGAGTGATTCCAACTAAAAATTTTACAGTATTATGATTTTTATAATTGGAATATGTAAGGCTTTGATTAACAAGACTAGCAGAACGTTGTAAAAAAATTTCTGTACAGTCTATAATAACCCTTGTTTTGGGATATCTGGACTTAAAAGCATCTGGCATGGTACGGTCAACTATTTCTCTGCTTGGAAATGGGTTAATGACTTTTAGCTCTTCATACAATAATAATAGCCATGAAGAAAAATATTTAGAAAATGTTGATTCCGAAATTTTGAACCTTTCTGCTATATCTCGAACAAAAAGTCCTAATCTAAGTCTCATTAAGACTGCGAAAAACTGATCGATTAAATCAATGCAGCTGGTTGATGCTCGTTGTCTATCTTGCTTCTGACAGGTCTCTGAACCAGTCCAGTACTGCATCCTTTCTGCCTTCGGTTTCAGATAACTGAAATAGTAATTGACCATATCTTACTGCATTTAAGGAAAATTCTGTTCGAAAGATAGTATCTTACAATTTTTCTATGAGTATGAGTACTACTACTAATTGAGTAAAAGGATTTAACATGAAGGAAAAACAAATACTTGAGCAACAAACAGTGACTTGTACACATTGATTTTGTTTGTGGAAATATTAAAACTTAACTTAATACATTTTGCTATATATGTTGATATATAAAAAAAATAGCACCTCAGTTTGTGATCATTCATCCTGTTGGTACTTTATACTTGTACATGTATGATTGATCTCCAACTGTTAATTAACTATATACAATTTATTGGTTTCATGTGTACTGATTGATACTTAGTGTGGGAGAATATGATCAAAGTGATGTAACTGTATTTTAGTACATGTATTAGTTCTCTTATTTCAGTGCTTTGTGTCATTTTTTTTCGTTAAGCCAATTGCAAGTTTTCATGGTCAGAAGACATTTACTCAATGTTAACTTCATGTGATACTTGTATTAATTAAACGTTAATATTACAGAGTTTCAACAAAATTATTAGTGATAAGTAAAACAAGGACACATTTGAGTGAGTGCAATTTTGTGTTTAGATTATTGTGAAAAAATTTAAATAATTAAGATCTTACTTGAAGAGCCACATGAACACTACAAACTTAGGTAGACCTGTGTAGAACCTGGTCTTTTGGTCATTGTCTGCTATTTTCTGTATAGTCCATTTGTGGTGTTGCAGTGCAGCTCTCAATTCTTTGTTTTCTTTCCTCAGCAACATATTTTCCTCTAATAAGGGATCTGTATCACACTGAGACCCTGAATTTCAAAATTGGCATTTCAGCAACTTTTAAACAATAATATAGATACAGTTTTCAATTTATAAGAATATCATACTGAAAGCAGAAAGTAATTCAAGAGAATAAAGATGAAAAAATTGTATCTCAATATTCAATGTGTGTGTATATATATATATATATATATATAAGTAAAAAAAATATATATACCAAATATTTTACAGTTACTAGGTCAAAAGAACAACTTTTTATCATCCACTATAGAAACGAAGACTGTATTCAGATCTCTCAAAAATTAATGTTGTCTCAATTAAGAAAGAATTTATCCGAATTATTGATACACATATATTGCTTTGGTCTCTATTAATCTTTTTTGACAAAGTTCCAATTAATTATACTTTCATAAATGTAATTAATTTTATTGAAAGAAAGCAATTTCTTCGTCCATGTTTTAAGGACAAGCGAAAGAATCTCTGAGGTTATTAGGTTACATCAAGACAATAAAAAAGGAGAAAAAAAATTATAATTTAAGGTATATTCATGGTATACCAACATCTTTGATTTTGCAATCGCAGTACACATTCTGTCTGGTTCTTTGCCTTAATCTGCAAATTATGAGAAAGTTTTGCGGATTTACTGCTTGACTGGTATCATTTGTTTTAGGAAAAATAAGTGATTTATTGCATTATTAGAACTGTTTAAACAAATATCATGACTTTTATCTTGAAAATATCACAGTGACTCATACTTTTCATTATATTTATGAAAAAGCATACTCAAATCTTTATTTTGGCAAAGTATTAGAAAATTCTTTCTGAAGAAATATATACTTATGTTCCACCTTAATATTTATTCTTACTTTTGACTAAATAACAGATAATTTTATTCATTATAAGAGTTTATTTGAAATGCCACCTTACTTAAATTTCTTTTCGTTTAGACTTGGGGTTTTCCCTGTGTTATAGTTACACTATTTATAAGTTCAAAACTGGTTAGTGAGAGTACCGGTAGTTGTATAACAGGGTCTTGTTTTGGTTATAAATATATATGAGTTATATATGCACGTGAAATACTTTTGCGCTTTAAAAGGTGGGGTTCTGTTACAATATATAAAGAAAATTTGTGGGTGTCATTTCATCGAAAGTGCTCACAGTAACTACGACAGTCAGTTTGCACTTTATTGTCACATAATAATTTATGATTAAAATATCAAGTTTGATTTCAGTCCATTTAAATGTATTGGACAATTGTGTTTGTACTTTAAATATTGTTGTTATAATATGTTGGTTTATAATGTTATTAAACCTTGCTAACTAGAAAAGAGAAAAGTTACTGCGAGCAACTAAACCTATACCTAGAGTTTTGTTTTATTTATTATATCAAGGATCTAAGTAAAGAAATGTTTTAAATTGGGAGGAGCATGGAGAGGGAGAATTTAATTGGACTTTAAGTGGGTAGCAGCATAGAGATCTAGTTTTTTTCTTTTTAAATTTATGCTTTGTTTAATTTCAATGAAGCTCGTGTTATTGCTTACCAACATTGGATGTAAGTAACATGCTTGTATCTGACAAACTCTTGTCAAGCTGATCATAGACTTGAGGTTCATGTAACTCTTCCATCTCTACATCTGGTCCAGTAATGGCATATGATGAATGCATCATGACTGAGCTGGTTAGGCATGCTGTCTCTGTTTCCTGGACCTTTAACTTCTGTTCTTTAACAGTCTAGATTTATCATGAGAAAAAAAATATGTGTACATGTCATCCTTCCAGTATGGTTCATTTGTCTTAAAAAAAATTTACCAAAAAATTTATGAAATATGGTCTTGAAGAAAAGCCAGTAATACCCCTATTAGGTCTTATAACATTTCTACATACAATTGGCCTTGTTAAAATATGCTCAGAGGATAGAGAATACAAAGGATAATGTATTATAGGAAGCAGTTATTTGAAATAAACTGTTTCAAGCATTGATTTTTAGCTAAGTGAAAAAGCTAAACTAACTGAAAACTGGGCCAATTATTTTATAATATGTATAATTTTTCAAAATTGTTAGAAACTTTTATGCGAAAATACTCTTAAATTAGAAAAAGAAAACTTTTTGACTTATTTTCTATAGATGTCTTTTTGTTTAAATTGATGTGTGTGTGTGTTTAATAAAAAATCACTAAATTGTTTCTAAATTTGTATATGAGGGAGGATAGACAGTGCAAGATTTTTTAGGATAAATTTATCCTTTAATGAAACTGTTTCGTCCTTGCCAGAGGAACTCTTCAGGTGGCTTATGGCTACCACGACAGTTTGTCTTTGAAGTTATAATTCATAAAAATTGAGGTACTACATGTATATAGTAATCAGCTTTACAATACATGTACTTAGTAAAATTACCTTCAGTTAATATTATTCAACTCTAACAATATTATTTTATGTCAAGTATAATAGTGATAAAAAAAAATGTACAAACAACATTGAGGAATGAATAAAAAAAATGATGAACAGGTTATAGGAATAATTATTAATTACTTTGTAAGTAGATCTCTAGCAATAAGAAAGTACAGTATATGTTTTGGGAAATTATGACTATAACACTTAGTCCAAATAATTATGACATCTTGAAAGGCTATTATATTTTTTTCTTTGACGCCTTACATCGTTGCAGGAAGGCGTCAAAGCAAAAAGGAGTAGGTCCGGTAAGGGCCGATTTTGGCCCCAAACTTCAGGTTCATCTGATGAAAGATTTTGGACACTTTTTAAACACTTAAGTGTCTACTTCAGTCGATTCAATTAGTTTTTGTGAAAGATTTGAACAGATTTAGTCATTTAAAACGCTCAAATTCAAGTTAAAATATGAAAAATCTATTAAATATGCCATAACATATCACTTTTCAGATGGTTTTTGTCAAAAATGAAAGTGGCCGCATTTGTGTTCATTCTCAACCTTTATATATGTTATGTATTATCATCAAATACAACTTACATTCAAATATTTAGAATGAACACAAATGCGGCCACTTCCATTTAAGACGGAAACTGTCTACAATTTAACTCAAATGCTAAAATTGTGAAGATTTCAGTAATTTAGCATGACTTAATGACGATAGTACACGATACATGTGTATAGTATTGTCAAAAACAGACCATATTTATGTAACCGAAGTATTCTACTTTCCATTAAATAGATAAAAGTTTACATTCGAACAATTTTGTGAAACTGCAATATTTTGGGGCCAAAAAGGGGTCTAACTGGACCTACTCCTTTAAAATAGCCTTCCCAGACGTCATAATTATTTGGACTACTATAACACTGTGACAAGGAGGTATTTAAAAACAACATTAAATCACCTGCAACAAATTTCTACTGGCAAGTCTGACATTTCGATCTTGCTCAGACACAGAGGGGTCTTTTTCTTTGTAGGAAAATATTGTTGGCCTGTAATTCACATCACTGGGGTCGTCGCTGTGCCACCCGTCAACAAAATGTGCAGAACAAATCCTACTGTACTCGTTTGGAGCCCAGTCTGCCCTGTTTACAGCTTTTATCCATGCTTTCCTCTTCCTTGCATCCTTTGGGAAACGAAAAAAGCTACAACGATTCTCCTTATCTGACGTACTTTGCCGGTTAAAACACTTAAACACGACACAATTGAAAACCATAACGAACGTAACTAATGTAAACAGGAATGCAAATATGGTTGCCGTCCGGAAGCGTTTCTGCGCATGTATGTATAGTAGGACCGCAGTTAACGTGAAATACTTTATTTGTTTTTATTTGGAAATATTATCTTGTCATCGTTTTCTGGGACGAGTCGATTTCTCAACTTAGCTTAACCGTTTAAGCCTTGGAAATGTGTTTTTGTTCATAGCCTACCTACGTTCTGCGGAATTTTACTATTAAACGGGAACATTCGAAACGTAATTTAATTTTGATTAATTTTGATTAACATTCAATTTCTTAGGAGGTGCTCTTTAGAATTGTAAATATATTTTTTTCTTGAAGGCAACATCATTCTAACAGGAAATTGATTAGCTCAGTATAATTTTAGTAATCGATACTCGAGTACTCGAGTACTCGTTGACAGCTGTAGTATTTTGAATTATATAGAAATATAGTTGGTATCTGATTGTTTATCTTAACGTGAACTAGATCACCAGTTTAAACTAACTGGGTACGACCCATACCTACACAGTAAATAGTTATCTGATGTTGATGAAATTTTGTATAACTAACTAAAAAGGGTGTTTTAAAACTATGAATAGCTTTTCATTTCGAACATTTTATTTACAATTTATTTTCGAAACGATTTATTGGTGTTTATAAAGCAAAATATTTTTTTTTGTTAATGACACATAAATATGATATTCAGAATACTTAACATACTGATGATGAGTAAAGGTGCCTAGTATATTTAACTAAAACGTTTTTTTACATTTTTGATTTGCATAACTGTTGTGACAATTGTAAGTCATAATTGCCCTTTTAAGCAAAAGGGTACCAAACGAAAACAAAACCTGACATAGAATCTGTATTCTGTACCATTGACATATATCACGCCATTGGACATATTATAGGAAACGGCCACGCATCATTGATATGTGGAGTTAGATACCAGAACAGAATAATGTTAAAAAAAAGAATAAAATTACAAAAATACTAACTCCGATGAAAATTCAAAACAGAAGTCCCTAATCAAATGCCAATATCAAAAGCTCAAACACTTCAAATGACTGGACAACAACTGTCATATTCCTGACTTGGTACAGGCATTTTCTTATGTAGAAAATGGTGTACTAAACCTGGTTTTATAGCTAGCTAAAGCTGTCTCTATGACAGTCGCTTAAAATTCCATTATATTGACAACGATGTGTGAACAAAACAAACAGACATAATAGGTAGAAATGTCAAAAAGGGGTACAGCAGTCAACATCTTAATCACTATAAAAACAAATATATAAACATTTAACATGACACACTTACACAATGACGATATGTAAAGTACAGAGCCACGTCATATGTAACACAGAAACACAAAAAAGGCATAAACATGATAAAGACAAAGCATATTAGCAAAAATGAAAGGCAAGAATACAAAAATTATCATAGAACAATAACACAATGACGGGATGTATAAGTACAGAGCCACGTCAAATGAATACCATAAAAAACGACTAAATAGTAAAAGTTATAATCATAAAAACAAAGAAAAAATACTTTAGCACGGTATTAAGATGATAAAGAACGTCAGTACCCAGAATCTTTACTGCAAGACTATCGTGTATAATTTCTCAACAGGGTCTAGGTACCTTCCGATGAACATTTTTAGAAAAAGGACGATACGTTCTTTGACATACCCCTGGTTCATAAACTGTCTGCTCAGACACTGGTGACGTTTTACAAAGTCTGAGTAGTTGCTGCATGCTCTTGTATACCGAATAAGTTGGGAAACGTATATCCCATATGCAGGTGAAGTTGGTATATTGCAACTAAGAAACTCCAACATACTGACCACTTGTTCCTCTGTGTAGCATGTTTTACCTTTTTGTTCACTATTAACAAAATATTACCAACCAATAATGTTGTCTTCTACGGGGATATAAAAATAAGAAGATGTGTAAGATTGACAATGAGAAACTCTTCAAGAGGGACCAAATGACAAACAAATTAACAACTATAGGTCAGCGTACAACCTTCAAGAATGAATAAACCCATACTACAAAGTGAGCTATAAAAGGACCAAAATGACAAAATTAATGTAAAACAATTCAAACAAGAAAACTAACTGGCTGAGTTATATTCGGGAATGCGTCACGTTCGGTACTTAGCAGATAGACGACATATATTTTAAACCACAATCAAAGGCGTGGAAAATATGTCATTGGTTAGTTTTAGACACAGATACATCCTATAGATCAACCAATTTGTTATGGTGTTCATAAAATTTACGGAGCGTCATTTTTAATCTTTCCTCCTCATAACTCTATTGGAGCAGTTTCTGGATAAGGAGCATACTCCTGTATATAAAGTCAGTCTAGTGTGAACATGCACAATCATGACATATCAATTGAGATATATTAACAAAATACGACGGAGCAGAGGGTATGTTACTGCTGAGAAATGGGAAATTGATAACTGGGAAATCATCCCGACCGTTTGTCATAAATTTTAGTGTGAAGTCGTCCATCTGTGTCAACATTGAAGAAACGATCAAGGTATGAGTTAGTCGTTCTTGTATCAGTAGTATCCTTTATCTAAAGTTCACTGGGATATATGAGATACAAGTTCAGACTAAATATGGGTTATTCGGTGATAGAACATAATCAATATGTCTTAAAGTAAATTTAAAGAATTTTGCAAGGTGCTTTTTCTTTTTGTCTTTAGAAGGTTCTGAATGAATTATGTTTCATACGAGTTCGAAAACAAGTTGACCAGAAGGGATGCACAATCAGTACATATTTGAATACCGACTATCTGTTGAAATATCAATCCTCCAAACTCAACAAATATACTGTCGATTAAAAAGTACAGCATTTTGATAATATCATCTTTACTGTTTTCTATCATAGAATCAGTGCGGTTCTTCACAAAATAAGAATTATTATAACCCTAAACAAGAAATACATATCTACGATTCCCATTTTTATAGAAAAAGCCCTGTTTAATGAGATGGTGAAGTCTATCAGTTTCATGGAGAATAGTAGTGTAAAAGAGGGACGAAATATAACAGAGGAACAGTCAAACTCATAGATCGGAAATAAACTGACAACGCCATGTCTAAAAAAGAAAAAGACAAACAGACTAATAATAGTACCCTGTTAGATCTTCGTAAATTCATGCAATTTTGCTGCTGGGCGGATGATTTCCTCGGGGACATTATGTTTAGTATAAAGCGTAGAAAAAGGTCTTAATGTTTCTACAAAATTGCAGATATTGTGATCTGAGATTTTTAGAATTTTTGAGAATCCACATCTGATTGACACCACTGGTGGAATATATCTAACATATGATAACAGCTATGTATTTCGTATGAATGGAATTTGTTGTTATGTCATGATGTGTGTCTTTATTGTTATATGGTCGATTTGAATAGCTCAGTAGAGATTGTGTAATATGTCTCTGTTTACTAAATATTGACTTCAAACAAAACTAAATTGAACTAACAAGCCAAATATCTCAGTCATGGCCTGCTCAAGTGTTTCTTGCAAACAATACAGTTAGCATTCTCCAGGTCAAATTTCAAGGTCACACGAAGGTCATAATTGTACGGGGTACACCACCTCATGATTATACATCCACATGTCAAAGATGTAAGGCTTAGGTCAAAAGACAAAAAAGTTATGACCTGGTGGTGTTTTCTGTGAAAAAATACATTAAGTTGACCTTGAAGTCAAATGTGAAGTTCACATGAAGTTCATAATGATACAAGACGTTTAACCACATGCCAAATATCTAAGGCCTAGGTAAAAAAACAGGAAGGATAATATTTGAAATTCACAAAACCGCCAAAAGTATAACACGGTATATTTGAATTGACCTTATTCAAATATCCTGGTCAGCTCTAACTCAACTCATGAAAAACATCAAACTTATTGTATACATTCACCACGTGTTTCACGTATAAACACATATACGTTGTATTATGATGATTACATACCAGTGTACATAACTTAATAAATATGTATGTTTTAATGTTTAACTTTTTCTGACGTAACCCTATGAGGACTACACATATCTTGCATGAACAAATTTAGTCTAGTAATTTTAGTTCAAATATGTTTTAGATAATGCACAGAGGAGTGTCCGGATTGATCAAATCAATGACCGACCGCAGGTGTGTTCTACGACAAGAAAAACCCAAAAATATGGAGTTATTTTCTTTCAAAACGATAGGTCATTCTTTGGTAGAAAGTTTTCGGATGATAACCATCTGTCCATGAATCGGTTGAATTAACAGCATGCTAAAGTATTTATATTGAATAACTAATCGAAATAGCACTTTACCCAGCAGGCACCCGATGTTGTACAGACGTTGATATTTGGTTGAAAATAGGTCGCAACGTCGGCGACCTAAATTCAACGTCGGTTCAACGTCGACTGGCAAACGTCTGTCGGACGTTATAGAATGACGTCTATGTAACCTTGTTTTTTGGTCACGACCTTATACAACGTTGACACAACGTCGGATTCCAAATGTCGGTCGGACGTCTATATTAATCGAAATAACACGTACCTGGAAATATATACCCAGCAGGCACGCAACCTTTTATTTATATTGGTTTACTTGTGTTTTTGAATCAATTCAACGATTACTGTTGCTAATATATCTAATTGATATGATTAAAGTGAATGAATAAACTGTTTTAAAATTTTCGCCGTAAAATATTTCAATTACACAAGACTGATTTTATTTCAATTGGCGCATGCGTATGAGGCCGACATTTCGAATTTATGTGCGCCAATTTGATTACAACAACAATTTCTACGACGGATGCTGTAAGAAGTGCAAAGTAAGTGTAATTTTCATTTATTGTTTGCTTTAATAGTAGATATATGTTTAGTGTAAACCGTATTGTAGCTGTAATTAGTCGCTGTTCCCGCAAGTATGAGTGAACAGTGATCTGTGCAGATCAGATTTCGGATCAGATATTATTTATAATTGAAGCCTCAGCGAACAACTATATTTGACTTGTAAATTGAAAATTGGGTGAA